TGAAAAGGATGAGAGCCATGTATAGAGCAGCAGAGATTGGTATCAGCTGGAAAAAAAAAAAAAAAGGAAGAAAAGCTTACAGTCACAGATAGAAAACTATATTCCAAGCTGGAAAAAACATCTGCTTTCAAGGACATTAAATCAGCTTAAAGGTCTGCTCTCAATTTCTACTTCTGTTCAGTATCAGCAACCAAGTGAGTAAGTAGATGGCTTAATAAAGCAAATTCCCAAATGACCGCGGAAACTATTTCATATTCCAGCTAGCCTTGGACTGCCTTCTCTTCCCAGCATAATCAGCAGTCTCATAGGCACAGCTTTACAAATCCCAGGCTACCAGATAAATGACAGTAAGCTGTGACAGAACACAGTAAAGCCAGAGACAGCGTTAGCAGGACCTGACTTCTCAGCAAGCTTGCCAAGCAGAAGCGAAACTTTTTCTAAATCCTGGATACAACAGTAATGGTTTCCCTCTGTCCAAGCACAAAAACCAGCACCATGCCTGAATCAGCGTCTTGCCACTGGCATAATTTTTTGCCTTAAAAAACTCTGCATGTAGCTCTGAAGTCATGCCCGCAACTAACACAAAGCAACACTTCTCAGTTTTATCTAATGTAAGCTAATATAATGTAATATAATCCACTCAAGTATAACAGACTGAAAACTGATGTTCCAGGCTGCACAGAATACACTGCAGATAAAACATTTTACAAGGGCATGCAGTGACGGGACAAGGGGCAATGGCTTCAAACAAAAGAGTGTAGATTTAGATGTTAGGAAGAAGTTCTTTACTATGAGGGTTCATGAAGCACTGGCACAGGCTGCCTTGAGAAACTGGCAATGGAAGTCTTCAAGGCCAGGCTGGACGGGGCTTGGAGTGACCTGGTCTACTGGAAGGCATCGCTGCCCACAGGGCTGGAACTAGATAAGCTTTAAGATCCCTTCCAACCCAAACCATTCTAGGATTACGTGATATGATCTAGCATTGCTACAAAATTATAGAGTATTTTATCTCCATCTGTGATCTGCTGCCCACTGGCAGCATGCAGAACCATGACAAATAGCCAAAACTAAATTCAGTATCAAGATCTACAGTATTTCCAATCAGGATTCTAACAGGTCAGGGTGCCATACAACACATACAATATTCAAAGGGACAAAGGCAATGTTTTTTTCCTAAAAATGTCAAGGACATACACTGTTGTAAACGATGCTTAAAACTTAAAAGAGGTGAAAGTTAAAAAGTGGAAGTGCCAATTTCAGGGAAAAAATACATAACTAAGAAACCAGAAAAGTTATAAAACACACATAGCATTGAGAATGTTACACATGCTTACAGTAATTTACCACAAAGAACAGAGCGCTTAAGGGTCTGAAACATGCTTTAAAACAATAAATAAAGGGCTAAAATACATACAGGATCTGGGCACTCAACTCCTTATGTATTTCAGTACAAGTCAGGCATCACGTTAAGTATGTGAGAGGTCCCCCTCTAACTTAAAAGAAAATGTTAAGCAGTTTTATTATGTGGGCATTCTAAATAAGCTCTGAAATGCAGAAACAATCACCAGCAGAATAAAGTAGCTATTACATGCTTTTTAGTCACAGGATTTGCTACAATAATTCCTGAAGCTCCCAGCAGTTTCGTAACAAAGTAGTCACATCTGCAGTTTCACAGAAATGGTCATGTCTGTGCCAATGTTTCATCTTCTGTTTGCAGGCTCTTATTTCCATGTTTAGAAGAGAACTGAAACAAGCCAACTACTTAAATTATTCCACCTCCCTCACTTGCTATTCTTAATCTTAAGGAGCAAATGCTTTGGTCATTGTAATGGAATGGTGTCGGTGATCTGTACTGGCAAGGGAGGCTCTGCTGCAAAAGACAGCTACAACCAAGCCCCGGGCTGATAATATGCACTGTTACTGAAAATAAGGGAACAGATGCTGTTGGAGTACCAAATGGAAGACGCTCTGGAAAAGAAAATAAACAAATCTAGCCATACTCAACAAGTCAAGGTACAGGAGGGAAGCAGCGAGTCTCTATTCATGGAAGTAAAAAGTGCTCTGTGGAAACATCAGAAAAAACGTACAGTGTGATGAATAAAATGGATTCCCTTTCCCAGAATCTCTGGATGATGCTAGAAAAAAATATAAAACATATTTTATTTACCTGGAATAAACAAACAACATAAACAACAAAAATCCAACACAAAAAAAAAACCGAAATGAACCAACCAAACAAAAAAACCCCACCCTCCAAACAAACAAAAAAAATCAACCACCACCATCCCCACCCTTAAAATAAACACAACAACCCAATAACAAAACCAACACCAACTCCCCCACCCCCCTCCCCAAGAAAAAAGACCAGCAAACAGTCAAGTGCAATTCGGTAAGCTAACAGAAAATTCAAAAGTGGTATCATATACCCAAGGGAGCGCTTCAAATAACATCTCTTGCAAAACAAGTACTCTTAGAGAGAGTGAATCAACATGTCTAGCTTGCTTCTAAGTGCCCTGACCTAAACAGTATAACCTAAACCTTGCAAGAGTAGAGAAAAATGAAACTTCAAGCCAATAGATTCCTTCTCACTGCCATTAGCTGGCCTTCAATAGACTGTCTTCCATATTACTTCACAGGCGTATATTCCTGTATTTTAAATACCCAAAGTTTGGTCAAGTCCAAGACAACGCCATGAGATGCAAAATTTCATTACTGATTGAGAATTGCATGGAATACGTCCAAGGAGATCCAGCTGCCTGCCTTTTGTGTAACTAGATACTTAATAGTGGAATTGTAAGAACAGGTCTCCAGAGTGGCTGTGGCTGTGCAGAAAAGCTTGTGGTTTTCGTGTGCTGTCACCCTACAACCCACAGACTGCTTATGAGAACCCAATTTTTGAAGCTGAGCTCGGATCAGTGAGCAGATTCAATAGACTGTTCTGTTCCCCTATATTCTTCTCAGCTAAAGAAGAAACTTCTCAACTCCTCCTCTCCCACTTACAGCAGTCATTCTGCACACATGAAGTAAAACTGTGATCCTGGCAAGATGGTGGGAGGTAGGAATGAGGCTACAAAAGAAAAAACAAACAAACAAAAAAAAACCAACAAAACCAAAATGCACCAAAAAAAACCCAAACAAACGAAAGAAACAAGAAAAAAAAAAAAAAACAAAACAAAAACCCTGAAAAAACACCCCCAACAACCACCAAAAAAGGCTAGTTTCTGTTGGTTTAGCACACCTCAGCTCTTTGAATCCTGCCTTCCAAACGGATCCAAAGCTTGTTATACTCCAATTTACATTGTCTCATGTCTGCTCCTTTGCCACTTATTTCAAGCAATTTTATACTTTACTGACTTAAGCTTACAGACTAATCCTAATCCTACAACAATTTTCAACATATAATTCTTAATGATGCATAATACAAGGTATCTTTACCTGTACCCCTTGCATTTGAATAAAGGGTATATACATCTCCAGACACACACAACTCTTAGGATCTAGGGAGATTGTTTTTTCTAGTTATAATTTTTATTTCAGCAAACATACATTTCAAGAAGTAAGAAATGTCACAGAGTCACTTCTCTGCTGCACTAGTAATACAAGATGCATCATCACCTGAATAAACAGCCATGGCTGTAAATAGAAAGCATTCTTCTAAATAGAAAGTGTTCTGCTCACTGTAGGTATGGAACAAAGGCGTGGATATCTTAAGAGAACATTTAACCTTAACTTTTCATATTGAGTTTACAGATGAAAATACACACCTTTACCAAAGCACATGTACTCGGAAGACCTTTGTACTTTTGTCACACTTCAACTTGCACTGTTATTGGGCTCCTTTTGTTGTTTTATTCCCCTGTAGGTTTAGATGTGATTTCACAAACTTCCATGATAGTAATTTAGAGCTAAGAGTCTGTCTATACAGGACTACCTACCAGAACAGCCATTCCAAATATTTAGGCATATACATTTCCATGTACACAGTCTGCTTCTGTAAAAGGTGTGCACATGGGGAAAACAAGCTTGGTACACTAATGTTAGCAAATTTCCATATGGAAATTAGCCTTCTGTTTCCCAATGAAATGCATCTATCTCCGGCATCTCTCAGGGTCACACAGGAACAAAAGACAGGATTCGATCACTGCCTACTTACAAATAGAAACAGATTCGCTTTTTGCATTTAGTGTTTCTTACAGGAACTCTGTAATGAACGTGAAATGAAATAGAAGCTGGAGATTCTTCCACTTTTTGAAATGGAAAAATCTAAGTCTGCTGGACTTGTACACTATAATATCCACTAATATTGATTGCTCTCCCCCCCCCCCCCCCCCCCCCCGCAGAAGCAGTTATCAATCTTGTATCTGCCAAGCAGAGTGTTACTTTTGTATTTAATGTTGAGGTTACAACTGTGTAATGTATTTCAAGACATAACACCTACAATGAAGTGTTAGCATCCTAGTCTCTTTACTTGTATCCTGTTCACAACTGACAGGACCCTATAGTGCAAAAAGCCTCAGTGATAAAATAAACTTTCAAGGATACAGACATCATTGATATGAAATGTTTTGTCTATTTCATAACATCAATGATTTCATGAACTTTGTCAACTTCAGGTTTCAAACAGCCTTCTGCAAATGAAGTGACATCTTTGAAACACACAGCTTTCAAAATAGAGATTTCTTTATAACCACTGGTTTCAGTCATGCTGTAAATTTACACTACCTTTTCCTAGATCTCCTAGCAGTTGTAGAAACAAAGTAGCTCAAGAACGATGGGTGCAGATTTCTTGGTTCACCAGGGTAAATAAAACAACTTCCTCTAATGTAGAGGGATTAAATTCACACTCACATGTAGAAAAAGCCTAATCGCTCCATAGTCATTAGTGCAACTGAACAGAAACATACACAGGTCCTGAAAGCAGACTCTTGTCCACTATTAAGTTTTATCAGCTCAATAACTCCTTGTAAAGCCAAGGACATCTCATCCTTCTTAAGACTTACAATTCCAGACTAGACTACGGTGCCATCTTATGCTGTCAGTGTCTGCCAGGAACTCTGGAGCTCTATCCTCCATCACCTTCTTTAAGGAACATTCTTATCTTGCACAAAACTGCTGTCTTCAGAGTCCTGGGTGCCCACCAGCACTTTTAAAGAAACATGATCTGTGGACAAATGAGCGGCAGAACAATTCTAGTAATATATGAATTACAACATCTGTGGAATTTAAAAAAGTAGTGTAATTAAGACCAGCTGTGTCATAGGTTATGCTGTCTGATGAAGTGGTGTACGTGCAGAGACATCAGTTTGGATAGTGACATGTTAGCTATGTGTCAGTGGGCAAAACTAGCAAGCTGGCTAGGCATACTGCAGCTATCAGCAACTTTTTATTGAAACTTTCAAAATCTGTCTGAACTTCTGGCACGTCTGGAAGTACCAAGTTTGCACACACAGGATTATGAAGACAGCTATCATTCTGAATAAATTCATTCTGAATAAATTCATGCACATAAAGGTATTACAAGGGGTAATGGGTTAAAACTTAAACAGGGGAAGTTTAGATTGGATATATTCTTTCCTGTGAGGGTGGTGAGGCACTGGAATAGGTTGCCCAGGGAGGTTGTGAATGCTCCATCCCTAGCAGTGTTCAAGGCCAGGCTGGACGAGGCCTTGGGTTGATATGATTTAGCGTAAGGTGTCCCTGCCCACAGCAGGGGGTTGGAACTAGATGATCTTAAGGTCCTTTCCAACCCTAATTAGTCTATGATTCTACATACAATTGTCACTCCTGTATACTCATTGCTATTTGAACCCAGCATCGTTTATACAATTCTTTTAGGAAGGACGGTCTAAATGGCTTTATTATACTGCAGTGATTGACAAGGTTACTCTAAAGGTGTTTATCTGATGATGAGACCCTCTGCAACTTAAAACGAGTTGCTTATACCTGAAGGATGAGCTTCTGTCAAAACCAAGAGTTCCCACTGACACATGCCATTGTGTCCACAGGTCAGCATTGCTATAAAAATGCAAGTTGCACTATCTAGCTGTTATACCCATAAGCACAGCACTAAAACACAGAATGAAACCAATTATAATACAAAATCAGAAAGGAAACAAGAAACAATATTTTTTTTGTGCTAGAGGTCTACCTCTTCAAAAGACTAAATATTTTGGGCAGCTATCCTTGATCTTAAACCAGGGTCAGACTGTTAACTTTTCATTTCACCCATCTCTTAGAGATCCAAACGGAATCAAGCCCCAGTGAAACAAATCATGAAAGGCTGCTCATGCCCTGAACAGGTTAGGAGTTACATGTTATAGGTCACATGCAGCAAAACTCCAAGCAAGAAAGGGCTAAAAGGAAAAAAGGCACAAACCAAGAACATACAGAACCACTTACTGTAATTCTAGCTGATCACAGATCAGGAGTCTTATAACACAGGAGCACGATTCTGACTTCTAACGTGCAAATTATTACCATACTAGCTTTTTTAAAGTGCTGCTCAAGATCACAGGTCAAGTTGGTTCCGTACCATTAAGGGAGGAGTCTGAAAAGAGCCAAAAAAAAAATTACTGGGAAAGAACCCCATAGTGAGATAAAAAATCCTGCCACGTTCCAGAGACATTCAAGACCTTTGCCTTTTTCGTGGCTCACTCTCTATGCAGTAGCACAAATACACGTAGCATACACATACTCTGCATCTCTTCTGGCCTTAATCTGCTAAAGATGCATTAGTACAAACCAGCTCTTCTGTTCTTAGTTTTTACTTGTGTGTTTGGTTGTTCTGTTGTGGGTTTTTTCCAAAGGGAGTCTCAAATATCCTCTAATGTAGAAACACTTTGCCTCTGAAAACTAAAAATAAACTCTTTGAAGTGTCAGCTTAAACCAAGAACCCATGCCCTATCATAGGTTAAATCTTGGGGCCCATCAGCCACACTTTGCTGTGGTCTACACAGGCTAAGAAGCAAACTGAAAGAGAACTCCAACAGCAAAATTCTCAGTTATTTTAGTGAAGCAAGATACTTTGCTTCACTAAAAAAAACACTTTGTCAAGCACGTTCATCAAAAATACTTTGTCAAGCACTTTTTAAAAAGCTACAGTTCAGAAAATCTCTCCTACAAAAGCCGACAGGGCTGTAGCATCCACTGCCTTTTTACTTAAGATCCCACATAACTGAGTGATCTGGTTAAGCAACTAAACCAACAAAACCTACTTTTGGTGAGGGTCTGTTTGTGGACAATTGGGAAGTAAAGCCAAGCAAGTGGTATTCTTTAAAGTAAACTGAGAGGCAAATTTACACATTCTCAAAACAGAATTTCCTAATTTCTACATTAACTTCCCTATCTCATCTCTCCCGCAAGCCCAAAACAGCTAAATGGCTGATCTTTTGAGGCAGAAGCAGAAAGTTAGAACAATTCCTCCCCCCACACTCACCCCGTGCTGCAAATCAGCGTAATTGCTCCTTCTGCAGCAACATCTGCCTTTCCAAATACTGAGAAAGCAGATATTGGAAAACATCCTGCTACACGGATTTTGAGATCCAGAAAACAAAATAAACGTTCATAGATAACTTTTCAAGGGGCCCCCCCTCTGTTTTTAAGCATAAGCTACATAACAGAAAACAGTTCTTCCATTTCAAAACAGTATAGGTCCTTAAAAGCTGAATGTATGTTTTTGCTTTTGTACTTTATCATTATTAATATCAAAAGATGCATGCTATAATCATCGAGATTTGAATTCTTGTTGTGTATTCTACCATTTACATACTAAATTGTTGGTCTTGCTATTTAAAGACTTGTTTTACATGCACAACATTCAGTTGGCAACTCTCTCTCCAGTGGAGTGACAAACATTTTAAAGCTTAGCCCTTAAACCACAAGGATAACACTAAGTGAGGAGTAAAAAGGAAATAACAACAACAACAACAAAAAAAAAAAAACACAAAAAAACACCCAAACAACAAAACCAGCAACAAAATATTACAAAGAATAAAGCCTATTCAAACAACAAAATTAATTAAACAAATGAACATGTGCTTACTTTCCTGTACATACCTACTGAAATAGCTGGGACTCATTATGTGCAAACCTAAAATGAGAGTTATGGTGTCCATTTTATTCACACTCAAACCAATATGCTATATTTTCTCACAATAGGTGAATTTTATGCCCCTGAACAATCCTTGGCTTTGGATAGACAACCCTAATTCGAACACAGCAATGAAAACACTGAGAAAAGCACTACATTCTGGTACTCCAAAGGGGAAAAAAACTGCAAAATAAGCATAAGGCAAGCACATTTTTTTATTTTTTTTTTTACCTCACAACTTCTGCTTAAGTCAATGTGAGCTCTGGGTCTATGCAAGATTTGAACTTGATCCATTAATTATTTATACAACAAAAGAGTTCACTCAAACTGCCTAACAAAACACTGTAATCAAACTCAAACAAAAACCTGCTTTGTCACTATATACAACACTCATGAAATAAAGAGGCCAATGAAGCCACACTCCTTTTGAATCAGTTACGGCTCTAACACAAGCAACAGAATTTGATCCTCAGCCGTAAATCTTTGCCAATCAGGTGGTAGGTAGCCTGTGGAGCTGGATCCAAACCCCAGAAACTTTGTAAATAATGATGTAATACAAAGGCTTAACCTACTAAATTTATTCTTTTCAAAATATCGTGTAAAAATCACAGTCTCACTATAAGGTAACTGCACAAGATACCTTTACGTAAAGTTTGAAAAAAATTGCAAACAAGCTTAACTGAGCACATGTGAAGCCTCTGCTGTTCCACCCAGAGCTCCAAAATCCAGCTGCACGCAAGTCTCCAGTTTCCCAACACTATCAGCTACAATGCCAACTATCCTGATCTCAGCACTGCCACCTAGTAGAAAGTGGTAGTGCACCACGGCTGCCTATCACATCAGCTCAGAAGACAGCAATATCCCCGAAAAGCATACAAAAGCTGTTGCTGCTAAAATTTTAACTGCAGCCAGTAGTTAACTACTCAACTATAACAGTCTGAAGGCAGCCCCCCCAAATCCCCCAGTCTTTCCCAAGCAAGATCCGCGAAGCGCATACACCAGAATCTGCTTCGCGTGTCTTGGCATGCTCTTCGGCGGGGGAAAACGTGAATTCACCCAGCCTTGTGCACGCCGCCCCCCGCCCAGGGCCCGGCGAGCAGGGACGGGAGGCGAGCGGGCGAAGACCGGCTCAGAGCTCCCAGCAGCCCCACGAGCACAACCAGCGGCTCCCCCCGCCTCAGCCCCTCCGCGCATCGGCCGGGCTACTGCGGCTTGCCCACCTCCGAGCATCGTCCTTCCTCGGGGGACTGGGCTGCTCCTGTTGCATTCCTTTCTGTGCAGCGGGACGCGATGGGAAGCGGACGCCGGGAAAGCCAAGCCTGCCCTGGCCGCCGCCGGCCTAAGGCACAGCCCGAGGTGTGCAGCCGCCCCTCGCAGCCCTGGGAGCGGCCGCCACAGCACAGCAGGGCACAGTTTAGCCTTGTCTTGTCTTACCTCACCTCCCTGGCTCGGGGGATCTTCCACAGCCGCCACCGCCTCCCGTGCCCTCCCCCACCTGCGCCGTCCCTCCCCGCCCCGCGCTCAGGTGCGGAAGGAGCACAAAGGCAGCACCGCCCGCTGCGGTGTGCAGCAGTCTCATACACACCGTGCCTCTTCCCCAGCAAGCCCCCAGCCCTGCTGCGCACTGCACCGGCACCCCCACTCCCGCCGCCGCTGCCAGCCGCCCGCACCTCTCCCTCCCCACCCACCCCGCTGCTGAGCACCCTGCCCACTTCAGCCCTCTGTGGGGAGCGCGCGCCGGCCGGCAGACACCCCACCCCCAACCGTTACGACCGTTGAAGCCGTTACAACTCGCCCCAAGCCTCTCCGCAAACCTCCCCTCGCACACCCTGCACCCCCTGTCGGTAGGTACCCGGGACCACGAAGCGCCCCTCAGATTGTGAGGAAGTTCCACAGGGCCGGGGAGATCCGAGAACCACCCGCTACCGCACGTACTCCCCCGCCACTGACACACACCGGGGCCGCCCTCCGGCGAGGGGAGGGGGCAGGCGGTCTCCCTCCGCAGCTCTCGGCGGAACGCCACAGCGCCCTACCTCCCTTCCACCGGAGGCAGCGACCCCCCCCGCTCGGCCCTCCCGCCAGACAGCACTCGCCGCTGCCGAGTAGGGGTGTGTGGTGGAGCGGGAACAGGTGAGGAGCAGGCAAGAGAGGAGCCTCCGCTGCCCCCCCCCCCAATGGTGGGAAGGTGTGTGGTGCGAACCCGCTCCCGCCTTCCCCGCACCCCGTCTCTGCGGCTGCCCCTGGGAAGGTCTGCGAGGGGACACCATCGGCAGGGACAACAACCACCCCCTCCCCCGGGAAAACTGTTGTCCCTCGCTCGCCTTCTTTTCTGCTCGGCCGCTTGACTGACAGGGAGCCTTCCAGCGGCCGCCCACGCGCGCTCCCGTTTTCCCTCAGTCGGAGAGGGAGATGGCGAAGGAGAAGGCATGAATGAAATAGGCGGCTAACGGGAGAGCCAGGCGGCGGCCAGAGGGAAGCCGGCCCCCGCTCCTTGGCGCGACGCAGCCGCAGCGAGGCCGCCTGGGTCGGCGGGCTACTCCGGTAGGCCCAGGTGGGTACGGCTGTGCCCCGACCCTCACCTCTGGGCTGCCGTCGCTTCCTAACGGCGGAGGACCGGCTGCCGCAGACTGCAAGCTGCTCCCCCGCTCCTCAGGGAAGACTGAGACACCATTTTAAGATGCAGTTACATCTTCTCAGGAGTTTGTTCCTGTTATTCAGGATGCCCAGGGGAATTATGAATGCTCCATCCATGGCTGTGTTCAAGGCCACGTTGGACAAGACCTTAAACAACCTGATCTAGTGGAAGGTGTCTCTGCCCATAGCAGGGGGTTTGGAACTAGATGATCTTAAGATCCTTTCCAACATAAAGCATTCTATAATTCAGTCCCCAAATTCCCAGGCCCGCATCTTGTGATAAACACATAAATGTATTGGCTTTCGCAAATCATAGGTGTGGTTATGTGGATATTACTGTACGAGTTTACAATAACAGAAACAAAACTCGCTAAAGACACAAGACTAGGCAATAAATTAAGAAGGTTCGGATCTCTTGATCAAAAAGGAGTCACATAGCAAAAGAATTTGTAAAGGTAAAAGAAAGAAGGGGGGGTGATATAAGGTAAGCTAGTGCCTGGAAAAACAGAGTTAAAGTACTTTTTTTAGCTTAACTTAGGTTGTAGAAAGAGAATAATGTTTATGTTGTAGGTCTGTGGAATGTAGTGGCCCCACTTAACATGAATTGTTTCACACTAGTCTTCTAAAGTATCTTTAAAGAACAATGTTTGTGTTGTAAGTCTGTGGTGAGATAACAGTATTTAGTGGCCCCACTAAACATGAATGAGTTATTTCCCACCATCCTTCTACTTACCAGTTTAGAGACAGAGCCTCCCAAACATCTGCTAGCTTGGGATACTCCTTGTCTGCCCATCCTGCAATAAATTTTGCAGGAAGGGCACGCTGTTTTAAATCTTTGCTGGTTATTAGAATAATTACAGATATAGCTGATTGTGTGATTACTGGGGGGTCCAACTGCCAAAGGTAGAGGAAGACTGCTGTGAGGAAGACTGCTTACTTCATCTTGAAGACCCCTACTCACAAGAGGAAGACTGTTTACTTCATCCTCAAAACCCCTGCCCACAATCACCGCAGAGCAGTGTGCAGACGCCAAGAGGAGGAGACTTATGATAATAAATTCTTGAAGCTGTTTATAATATCCCCGCCTATATGCGGGAATTATGAATATGTATGTAATTAATGTAATAGTGAAAGTATATAAACCTGTAACAAATACTAATCACTTGCACCTCTGGCTACAGTCATGCGCCCAGCGCTGTTGCTTTTGCTTTATTGACTATGTCCCTCAATAAAACCTTGTTCTCTCGTTTAGAGGAGTGAGTTTGTATTTCACACATCTGAACAGTGGCTGGAGCACACGGGTCCTTATGGCTTGGTGCAAACACATTAGCTAGCATGGTTGACCTTGTGTTCAAGTAAAAGAGTGTGCCTCTGGTCAGCTGAAGTTTGCATGAAAAAACTCAGGTCAGAAGGTGAAAAGTTGATGCCTTATAAAACCAGAGCCATGACTCTGGCCTTATATGTAGGCAACATGGCTGATTCCTCATCCCCTGTAAACCTGCTTTGCTCCACCAAAGGCAACTCATTTTATTCTGATAAAACCCCAGCACCTGATACCTGAACTGTCACTCTTGTTGTGAAGTGATAAGAGGGAGGAAAGAATCTCATAAGACTATTTTAAGCCCATTTTTTTCCCAACAATTACTTGGTACTGTGGGGCAACGTTGTACTCCTTTTGTTCCTCAGATCAGTTGTCCTTAAAAAAGTTGTAACTTGTTAAACACATACTTCAGAACCTCTGGCTGGAGATCTGAGTTTTTCCCAGGTTTGATGTGAATATCATAAGAGTTTCATTTGTGATGTTTGTTTTACTAGCCTAATTTACTGGAGAGTCAAAGCATTAGACGTTCAGGTAATGGGGGCCTACCAGGTCAGTGAAATTACCTCACTGAAGGTCAGTAATTTTGCTGGGTTACTGAATATATATTTTCTTAATTTTATTTACTGGAATTATTGATTGGAAACCCCATGAGTATTTATCTATCTAAATCTCTCCTACAATTTAAATTGAACAGGTCATTTTCCACCTCTGAATATGCATGGAATATTTTGTGTTACATACATTATATGCATGCTGCGCTTGAAGCATATCTGCATTTGCAGTTACATAATCACTAAACACTGGTTTTCATCCCATGAATCTAGAATCATATTCTGAACTGTTTTAAATCTGTATGCCTCCACAAATTCAATGTGTGCCAGGAAATTTATATCAGCTAGAATTTTAGCCTCTGAATTTAAAAAGCTGCTTTGGATTCATATGATGAGAAGTGTCTTAGTAACTTTACTTTTTACATTTTGCATTTCTGAAAACTGAATGCACAATAAAACATTGTCAAGTCCTTTGCTATGGAATAACAAATGTAAGATTACAATTTAGGTGGGTCAATGCAATTCTTTATGTGTTTGGTTTATAAGGTTTTATGTTTGCGCTAACAGTTCAACATGACTCACCTGCAGCACATATCACTGCCGCAGCTGTTGTAAACCTTCTGAGTCAGAGAATGACTTTATGACCCAGAATTCTGACAGTGAGTACTACCCTAGTGATTTTCCCAATTAGGAGAGAATTGCGAGTTGGTATCAGTGCAGGGTGAGTCAGAATTTGATGTAAGAGGCAAAACTGGACCCCTCAGTTACTACTGGACTAGTTCAGTATCCTCTTCCCTTACAAAAGTCATTGTCATGAAAACCTGGAATGAGCCTGTTATGGGAACTCCTCTTAGAATTCCAGGGAATTGGCTCTTCTTGGTCCCAGATGCTCTTAGGTACTGTACCAGCCATCTGCTGCTTGTTGCTTTGAGGTGCACGATAGCTTTGCAAGGGAACGGGGCCAGAGCAGTGAATAGTTGAGAGGCAGCAAGTCTTCTCTGCTTTACTCTGAGGAACCATTTTGCTTCTTGGCTTACCAAAGTGCAGGAGGTATGACATTAAACTCACATGCGCTATCGCTGTGTGCTTCTCTATGCTGAGTTAGGAGTTTCATTTAGGTTTTGGGGTTGGCTGTTTTCTGATAAACAGCCCAAATCTGCCCCAGCTGGTTTTGAATAGCAAAATTTGGGTACCCTGTAAGCTGTCAACTGCTTGCTGCAGAGAGTATGTTGGAATTGGTCAACCAGATACTCCGTTAAAATGTTGTCAGAAGGGGCCAACATTTAGGGTTGAGTATATGGCTGAACCAATTAGGGCATGATTTGCTTGAATTTAGGCTGGCTGCAATCTGGCATTAGGGTTTGTCACCCACCCAGTCATGCTCTAGCAGGGCTAGGGCGTAGCTTGAGTCTATGGAGGGCAATGAGAAAGAATCACTGGTGGGGAAGGCCAAAATCACAAGCCTACTGCAATTAGAAAGGATTTAAGTGTGAGATTGGGGTGAGGTTAACATCCAACATGAGGCAGAGGGTGAAGATTAGATATTCAGTGACCAATTAGCTGGTTTTATTGCCAGTTGTGCTAGGGACTTTGCTTCTGGTAGGCAGGCAGAGACTGCTGACTTAGGGTTACAGGTGGGATCAGGATTGAGCTGTTGGTGAAGCACAGCTGATGAGCCAAGTTTGAGGTAGTGCTTCAGTACCAAATAATTTTGGGGCATCTGCTGGTATGGTTGTGGGTAAAGCTTGATCTTGCTGAGAGTGAAGCACTTACACTAAGCTGGGTCTGGGGCAGCTGTTGGACCAGGTAAAGGATCCTGGGTAAGGGTTAAGGTGGGAACATCTGGGAAATTTTTGTATTTGAAGTTGTTACACTGCCATATTTGTGTTGCTGTTAACCTGTATGTCTGATTTTGTGGCTCAGAAATTCATTGATAATCTAGTTCAGCTAATTTCTAAACGACTTTGGTTTTTATTTCCCTTTTGACCTTCCAACTGCTTGCAGCAAAGAGCAGTCAGGCTTTCACAACATGCTGCTTTTGGTGAAATAAGTGTTAGTGGATGAGGGATGTGAGTTGGGGCTGTTCTTTGGGACTGCCTTTGCTACAGAGATATTTTATTTTTGTTCTTAAACCTCAAATTTCAGGTTCATACAAGCAAATCAGCCTTCTGGAGGGTAAACATCAATAGTCTATGAGGATTTTAATTTTGTTGCAAGACAAACTCAGAGAGGTTAGGGTTACATGGGGTGTACTGGTTAGGTCGCTTCCTTTTTTTTGCATTTCATCTGTAGAAAAACAGCTGACCTGCGCTAGCAGCTATGACCTAGCACCAGCCCAGTTCTTAGACCTAAGTGCAAGCCTTGTGGAATCACAAGCACCATTGTGAGTAATGTTTTGTTGGGTTTTTTTTTTTGAGGCTCTGTGGCAGTGAGAGTAGGAGCAGCTTTCTCCATTGAAAACCTTCTTCAAACACCAAGGTGATTACTTCAGAAGAAAGATGAGCTCTTCAGCTGTAGCTCTGATGCCTCCTGTGCCACTCAGTTGTTATTTCTAAAAAAGAGGAGGGTCTCATTGACAACATAGCAGATAAAACATCACAGTGGACTTGCATTGTCTTGGGGGAAAGTAGCAGTTAAAAAATAAATGCAGCAGATTTGGCTAATTTGAAAGAACTGATCCATTTGGGAGCAAGGCCCAGAACTGTTGCATTATCTGGCCATGTTGCTACATATGG